CCTTGCGAAGCCAGTCTTGAGCAGTCAAGCTGCGAGTGAAACAAAGTTGGCATGATACGTTACAAGCATTCGGGGTGTACGTGTACGCAAGTCAATGACAAATCACGCTCGACGGAGCTCACGCGTGAAAGAAGCGGAGTCCAAAAAGCGTCACATAACTCTGGTCGCGTATCGAGCCATGCCTCTTCCGGAAGCTCTTAAAGCCTACGGCAAAGAGGCGTTAAGACATGGGTCGGTTCTTGAAATAGGCTCACCCTGTACATTCGCAGCCTATGCGATGACCTGTAGCGATACACCAAATCGGAGGTGTACCGGACAGATCAGCTTGAACCGTTGAGTTGGCGGGTAATGCGCTTTTGGCCATTGCACCCCTGTGGGTCTTCTCAACGTCGGCAAGGACGAGGCATAACTGCGGAAAGCGATGGAAATGGTATCTGATGCTCGCTTCACCATCAGAGCACCCTGAACATTAACTCTGGCACGACTCAACAATGCTAATGGGGGTTCAACCGGATCTGCAATCAAAAGACACCATACATCATCACTCATGTCGATCGGTTACACTCTAACGGCTGCGCGTCCCATCGTTGCGCTGACTTGGGGGACTACGTGTACGATCTCTTTACTTCCCTTGTCCTCTGTCTCTTCCCTTATCGGATTTACCCCTTTCACCTTTCCCTGTATCCTTGGACTTGCCCTTGGCCTTGCCCTTGGCCTTCGGACCAGGGCTTTCTCGAACCGACGGAAGACCGTCCATCAGGTTCGCGGGAGGCGCAGGGCGTTCGGGGGGATTAAGTGATCGAGACGACTTCGGCTGAGAAAACACAGTCCGAAGCGTATCATGCGGATGCTCAGGATCGGGAGCTGTAGATTCCATAGCGGACCCGCCAAACCGAATGGATCCAGCTCCTGCCTGATTTTTGCGCGTCTGCAGGCAGCTTCGCCTGCTGACATCGGCTTAGCACCGAGCACAGGGCGCCATGGCCCTGTACATGGGGCCTTCTTGGGATGCTGTGACGCGGATCGTACAGCACTCCCGTATTCTGGATAAATCGCGTCAGTGCCTGCACAGCTAGTCTCTCTCCACGAAGAAGACGTGCTCCGAGACCGCCACCGGTAGCTCTTTGATCTTCAGGGTCGGTCCCTTCGTCTTCTTTAGCATGGTAGCGAGGCGCCCGACCAGCGAGACCTCAGCCGGGATGATAGCCTGGAGGTCGGACCACCGTAGCGAGTAGCGAAGCCCAGATCTTCTCCCAGGCCCAGACACGCCAACCAACGGCATTGCTAGCGTCCTGCAGCCCAGCTAGGATAGCGGAGGGCCCTCTTGATAAGAAGGGCCCCTTCCGAGAGCATCTCGACGATCATGTCCTTAGCAGCCCAGACGAACCTGCCCTGGATACCTCCGGGAACTTTGCTACCTTCTCCACCCAGGAAATGGCTTTCATGATAGCGACGCCCACACGGCTCATTTTTCCGGCCGCTCCTCCCGGGCCTCCACGATGGATCCTTTCCCGTTCCTTTCCCCGCAGAGCGGGGAGAGGGGGCTAGCACAAGTTCCCTACCAATCGTGGCAGGGTTCGAGACAGTGGCCGCGAAAGCGACATCCAGGTAAGGTCGTCACCCTGGCTTCTTTTTAGCTTCCTGAATCCAGTAATAGACAGCCTCGTGTGTCCAGTCCGCATAGAGAATGTTTCGCTCTCGCGACAGCTGCCGGCCATGTCCGAAGATTCGTCTGGCTTTATGGCTTTAAGGAGGATAGCTCCAAGGAACCGAACGCCTGGTCTACGAGGCAGCTGTAGGCTTTATCCAGCACTTTAGCAAGTCTCCGGCTCAGCCATCGGGGAGACGCTTGCGCTAGCCGCAGCTGATGCAGGGACCATAGCGTGGTGTTCGGGGACCACCGTCGGCTTTTGAGAAGCCCGGTCCCCCACCACACTAGAGGGCCGGGGTCGAGTCCCTGTCGCGGTTCGAAGAAACCCAATTCGATTGATTCCGATTCCTGGAGGAGCATGCATGAACCGAGCTGAGCGGGAAGGATACGTTGTGAAGCCGACACGCGCAAGGCTGAGCGTAGGGCCATGGGCCGTGACGATGAACGCGATGCCTCGCCGGTTGATGTTGACTATGACTCAGTGACTAATCATACGATTCTCCCACTGACCGCAGGGATCGCGACTATTGCGTCTCCATGATGCCAAGGCTGGTGCGATAACTCGTTTCCATGTTATCGAGCGCCGAGCCCGAATCGATCCTACCTCCGTGAAAGGTTGCCCCGTTGCGCCGTCGATGCTCTCTTATCACTACTAGCGCTATGACCGATGGGACTGAGTTCACGCTACAGGACAGTTGGCGTGACAAGGATAATCGGGCCTTACCATGCCCTTGGACGGGCAAAACAGTCTTTGTTATAGGCAACTTGTCCAAGACCAAGGTGCATGTGTCATGCACTCGTGCCGAGGTACGAGGTACGACCGTGTATGCTAGCGCCAAACTTCGGCCAGTAAAACATCGAAGGTTTGCTAGGAACACATCGAAGATGTTTCCGCTAGACTCGAAGGACTCGAGCTACCTGGAGTGCACATGATGGCCGAACATGAGCAAGTGCTATGTCTGTGGCCATTGCGCCGAAGATCCCCACAACAAGCGGGGAGGGGGGTAAGTTTGAAGTAGGAGGAGGAAAGGGAACAGAGCTAGCTAGCCATGCCTTGTGGGGTTGCTATGTCGAATAGCACGGGGTCCTCGCTGACTGAGGTCCCGACCGAAATCCCTACTCATGTGGAGGGGGACCTTGCGGATCCCGGATATGATGATCTGCGGGGCTTTACGGGGGCATGCCCATCATCGTAGAATTCAACTGTCCCAGTCCAAAGCTGCGAGATACTGTGACTGGCGACAGCTTCCATGGGTCTGGCGCTGTCCTATGGCTCCGGGTGCTTTACCGGGATGTACACTGGCCTTTCGAGGAACAATAACGGGGTGTGTCCATGATCGGGCCTTGTCGTCGCACCTCCGCCATGAGAGGACTCAGCACGCAATTCAGCATCGCGCTTGCCGCACCTCTTCCTCGGACAGCGAGCGTCCTGCCTCGAAAAGGAAGGTCTCCTTGTCATCGCCAATGTCAGGAAGGTCTAAGATCTTGAAGAGAGCGACGCCATCCGACCGTCAATCTTGTGCATCGATGGATCATCAACACAGATCGAGCGGGATTTTTTTATGGTAGATCGCATGTGTAGGAAAGGTCCACTGCTCCTTGGCCGAGCAGTAAGTTAAGTCTTCTTCACCTGATGCAAACTGGCACGCGATGCATCTCGTTTGAAATGTGCGAGATCGGCATGTAGTCGCCATTCCATTTCCCTTCGATTTCGGAGTGATAACCAAGGAATGTTCCTGGCCTACTCGTCGGCGAAAGACTTACCGACGCGCTGATACCACGAGAGCTTTCCTGTGCCATTGACTGTGATATCGACATCCTCTCTGCCCTCATCGCCATCATCAACCCATTCATCTATTCCGTCGTCGTCCAGCAAAGTCAACCGACTCCTCATCATCGGCACGAGGATCTGCGTGGAGAGCCTCGCCTCGGCATCGACTTCAGATGCGGGTTGCTCCGACAGAACACGTAACGTCTCCTCTGACCAACCAGATCCAGTGCGACGGGGACTTCCGTGTTGCCGCCGACCCGACGAAGATCGAGTCGCCGAGTACACCTTTTCTTGATTTCGCCGCCGGTGCCAACGTGTAGTCGAGTTGGAGCCAATGTTTCGCAGGTACACATATATAATTTCGCACAGATGTATCGCGATCCCAGAGCTGCATGTCTAGCAGTCTAGCTCAAGACATCGCAGTTCACGAACCTGTTCGTAGAAGAGAGAAGACAGCATCATGTGATCCGCAGGTCGGTCAACGGAGATACTGGCGAGAACGTGATTCCTTTTATCACAGAACGCCTCCAAGCCTCTCCTGCTCGACACCATACCTGAACCTGTCGAGACTACCTTGACGAGGTCGATGATCTTGAAAGTGGAGTCGCCAGTATCACGTGGCGCAGTGGCTAAGGAGACGTAGAGCAACCGCAAGATCTGCCGACTCCCGAGCCTCCTGCGCTTCGTATGCGTTCTCTCGGTCTCGGTCTGGATCCCGTTCTTCAACGCAATGGACTTGATGCACTCGCGAAACGCAGAGTTGCATTCATTTTCGAGCATACCATACTTGCATTCCTCGGTAAAGTCCTCATCCATACGCAGGATCACGTGCGAATGCGTTTGCAACACACTCCTTCATTTCAACAATCCATCTTCGGAGCTGAGCAGGCTCGAGCTCGGGTTACCCGGTTCGAGCCGAAACGACTTGACTTGCACTTTGCCTTCTTGGCGTCGCCGAGCGATCCCATCGCCCCTGGGCGCCCCTGCGGCCCGCCAGCTTGATCGTTGAGTTTGGCAGGTGCTCCAGTAGCACGCTCGCGACAGCATTCGCTACAGCACGCAAATTTGCACACTACACAGTTGCGCCGATGATGCAGTGGGAAGCTGCCCAAGCATCGCCATCACGAAAAAGGCGGGCCATCGCCTCGACAAACTCCCAAACATGCGCCTGGCCGTTTCCGCCACTCGGGAATCCTCCTCCATACGCTCCACCCCATGAGGGACCACGGAAGTCCATCCATCGGAACTTCAGGAGGTCTGCTCGGGGCTGGCCTGGCTGGCCTGTTTCCCAATAGGAGCAGTCGATGCAGTGGTGAAAAGTGGCGGTCAACCTTTCGACAACCGGAGGAGGCGCTGTTCCTTGGCCGAAGCCGATGCGGCCAAGCGTTGCATCATACCATCGTTCGTGATGGCCTGACCCCAGTGGGAACGGCACGAAAATCGTACGAAATCTGACATGGGAAGCAAAAAATCGTTCGTGCATTGCCTCACCAGCACACTGAGCAATCGGCCCCGGACCACGCTCGGATGCACATGCCTCAGGAATAAAGTTGATCGGAGCAGTGGCTTGGGTAGCCGATGCACGTGCAGTCGACTCAAGTGTCGCTCTGTCGACCAATGGGCGACTGGAATGTTGGACCCTTGGCCAGGCGGGTGGAAGAATGTCGGCTCAGGGAGTCGACCAGGGTCGATGCGGTCTTCTTTGGGACGATCATCGACGAGCAAACGAGTTCTTCGGTAGACATCATCGACTGGTTGATAATCAACCAGTAATCAGATTACTCGCCCCTGACAGTCGATGCTTTCTCGACAGGTGCCGCATGGCCGCCTCGAGGAGAACCATGTTCGATCGGTCCAAGGAGAGACGAGCGGGGAATCGATGATGCGCGCGCCTCCAGGAAACAGCGATCCTGGGGCAAGAGGAAGACTGTCAGGTCTTGGAACATCCCGGTCAGGTTCGCTGATACCGAAAAATTGGACCCCATCGGCAGTGAGGGAGTTGATCGTTCAGATTTGTATGATCTGACCTCACGGCTCATCTCTTCGATCGCACGCTCGGTAGTATCGCGGCGATGCGAAAAAACATGCTTCCAAGCCAGCGACTCTCGTAGCGAGGTCGTCAACGAGATCGATATCTTATGATGGTGAAGTGATCGACTCATCTCGATGCGAATCGCCTCGATGCGCGAGGTTGCGTTCTGCTCTATGGCACCAATTCGTGCTTCCCACTGGGACATGCCGATGTACAGCTGTTGCAAGCTGTCGAGCTATCGTTGGATGTCGCTGATAGTTGGACGAAGCTTCACGCATATGGAATCCGCTCGATTCTCGTTGAGGGTGAAGACCCTTTCATCAAAATCGGCGAGACGATCGTTCAGATTGCTTTTTGGCTGCTCGAACTGGCTCGAACCTTTCACGGAGGGTTCCATGATCGTCGATTCGCCGCTCTGGGCGGCTTCAGGGCCGAGTGTGTCCCGAATCCAGGGATCGGCACTCAACAGCCCCCGGCAATTGATCAAGGCATGAGGCCGGCTACAAAACGGCATCATTCGATATTCTTGACGGTACTCAAATGGACTTCCTCAAGAATGGCGGCATGGCGCTACTTGCCGATATTTGCTAGATATCCTTTGTGCACATGAGATACCCATGTGTACCGACACTTCTTGGGCCCCTCCTCTGGGTAGTCTTCCTAGGATAGCGCTTGGGATGGTGCTCAGCCTGGCTCCGGATGGTCTGGTTCTGATTGGACCTGATTGTTCCAGTTGGAGCATATGCTCCGGCTCTTCAAGCATGAGGAACTTCATGAATGTCGGGGGAAATGTGGCCAAGTCCTGGGTGGGTGACGGTTTTTCGATGGTCAGTCGGAAATCTAGGATTAGATCCTAGCTGTGCTGGTTATTGCATATGCATGTTCTTGGGTTATAGGCATAGGAGTGGGATGGGACCCTGAGTCAAGCCAAGGACTGTGTGTCTGATATTGGTGTGCCTCAGCGTCCATGGAACATTCTGTGTGGAGCAGCCAGCTCAATCACTGTTGTTCCGACAGCCTCGATGGGAATGGTTGACCAACACCGTAGCCAGGGAGTCCTGGTTCAAGTTCAAAGGCTACAAGGGTTTCTGGTGTTCCCACCTATGTTCTTCATGAAGCTAGTCGCTGCTACCTTGGAAACCCCCCACGCCCTAAACCTTGCTAGGTCCTTGATAGGGCATGTTGTTCTTTTAAAGGAAAAAGCCCGAGACCGAAAGCCTGTAGCCCAACCCCAAAAGTGAAATCCTTGCTGCACTAAAACCCGGGCCCAAACTTGACCTAAACCCTACAAACGTCTTAAACCTTGAAGTTATAAACTAGCCCTAAGCCGAAAGCCTTCATTTGGTGTTGACCCAGGTATATCGGGTGACTCTATGGATGATGCTACATGGTGCACCATCACCAAAGAGGACGGTGCTGTTCAGCGCTATGTCTACTGCTCAAGAACTTGACCTCGGCAAACTAGCTAAAGAAAAGCGACTGCAGTGCTCCAAGATCACCACTGCACGTGCATTGTTTGCATTGTTCAATATCCATCAGAGCATGAAAGAGTCTGTTGCTTATGTGGTCAAAGATCGCATAGGAGTATTTGTCTGCAATCTGAGGAAGATTTCGGGACCGTGGCGGCAAAGCTAGATTCACTGGTACGGACAAACTACAGGAATCGGGGTGGCTATGCAGCAATACTTGTTGCCTTCTACTTGCAATGCAGTGAGTAGGCCTATGTATGTGAGTGCAGTAAGGATCTACACTGCCACGTTCGGCAAGAACCTGCTGAAGGCCTACACTTCCTGGCTTGCCACGCCTGCTGGTGATCGTGCCGATCTTCGGGGGCGGGAAGTTGTAGACTTGTCCTTGTCGGACAGGGAGATCTTTGAAGGTTTGCAGGGTGAAGATGAGTGGATCGAGAGTGGGATGCACGAGGTTTTCGAGTATCTCTACCGTGGCACAAGACTTGTGTTCCTTGACTTGTATGGTGTTGGATTTCAGCTAGCTGCTGGTGTGAGTAACGGTGAATTCACCTATATATGTTGCACCCCAAAGGATTCCAGATAGCTGGCAGCCCACGATGTCAGACTATGCCACCCAGCTTCGTGAGAAAGCTCCCTGCTGGCATCAATTGTGTCGTGTCACAATATATAGATCCAGGTAGTTAAGGTCATACAGGATCCCCTGCTGTAATGCTATCAGACTGAAAGTCCGATGATGTGAAGCTCCTGTACATCCCCGACACTTATACATGCATAGAATGTCCTGCCCCGCAATTCAAAGCCAAGGTGTTGGGATCTCACGGTCTCCGCCAAGAGCTCTTTGCAGTGCAGGCACAGACCGGTGTGACTCAGTGCCGCAAATGTAGGAGGTGTGGGTAGGAATGGCATTGTATACGGCTACCAGTGCATGGTTGCTAGGCTGTCCTAACTAGGAGTCTGTCCCAAAGTGAACATATGGGGTTGGCAAAGCACGATCGGCAGCAGAAGCAAAAGGCTGCAAATTGCGCGCGTTGCCTGTCATTGCGGCGGCGCAAGGCAAAGGCGGCACTTGCGGTGGCAAGGCACTCTGATCGATCTCGGCAGGTGCGGCATGCAAAGGCAAGCAAGGCAGCAAGCAGCAAGGCTAGCAGGCACGGCAGGCGAGGCGAGCCGAGGCGAGCTGCGAGAGCACTATCATCAGGCTCCGCGTCATTCCGAGCAACGGCGGCGTCACTGGTCAAGAAGCGGCGGTCGAAGGAACACAAAAGCTCACAGGAGACCCTATCGGAGTCATCGTCATCGTCTCTCTGTGGCGCTACTTGGTACAGGTTCGGGAAGCTAATCGGATATGAGACGACCCGAGTGCAAGGGCGGCAGCAGCAAGCAGAGATACACAATCGGAACCGACGGCTGATGACCTGCGAAAAGCAGGGGAATCGACTTAACTTTTGGTCACGAAGCAGGGCGCTCCCAAGTGTTTTGCAGAGCAAGCAAAGCAACGGCAATGGCAATGCGTTGCGATGAGATCGAAGCAGAGCTCTAGATACCAAAGGTTAACTGCACAGCTAAGAGGCAACACAAGCACCACCCTAAGTGCTGGCGGACCATTTGCTGCATGGAAGGTCTTGAGCAGTCAAGCTGCGAGTGAAACAAAGTTGGCATGATACGTAACAGGCACTCAAGGTGTACGTGTACGCAAGTCAGTGACAAATCACATGTTGTACTAGTCGTTTGCACCCCGTCATTCCGAAGTAGCTTCCTCCGTGTTTCGGGGTCTTGCAAACAGTGCCCAGCCTGCAGCAGCATTGCAGCTCCCCCTGACAGTGACAAATCAAGCAGACTTTGGCATGCAGTGTATGTGTGTGCATGCGTATGTGTGTTTTGCACGTGGATTCTTTTCAACTTTAGTACCCAGGCTCAAACCTCAGGGTTTGGGCATTTACGTTCTAAATTGAAACCTAGCTGAACCGCAGCTACAAATGGCGACCGTGGCTTTCGTCGCGACCTGCAAATGTACCAAAGCAAAACCTGATGCCGTAAACATGCCTTCAGGCTGCCGTAGAAAGTCGCAAGGGCGCTCCGGCTGCTTATGCTCTCCTCATGCTTCCTAGCAAACCGGGGCTGCTACTAGTGCTGCAAATGCCATGGTGTCATGGTGTATTGAGAAAGCGAAGGAATCAACTCATCGACATCTAACCTTAAACTCTTAAACCTCGATGCATTGCCTAGGCCATGCCAAACACCAAGGAGTTGCAGGGCATGATCCTCATCCATTCCTTCCCTGTTGGAGCCAGAGCACGACATCTTCGAGCGACTTCTTCTACAGAGCTCTCGTGTGGCTTTGGAATCTTCCAGTTTCCCATTCAGATCTTCCCACAAGAACTTGCGGACTTTAGTGTATTGGAGGCGCAGCCGTGGCTTGACATAGTGGATTCTGAGACAACAATTTCTGGGCAGAGTATGTTGCAACATTCTCGTGGCTTGCGACAGTTCGCATCTCCGAAAATCCAGGACTTGTTCGTGAATCGTTTGTCACAGGGTATTTGTACTAGTGCAGCTCGCCAAGCCGACAGCTGAAGGTTTCTACCAGTATGTGCAGATAGAAGAATTTTTCAGGAATTCTCCTGTGCAACATGTCGCATTAGTTACACAGGCGTGTCAAGGAAAGCAATGGTTAAACGCATGGGAAGAGCGCATAAACTAGGCACGCATCAAGGTAGCTCCGGTGCGAGACTGCTGACCTGGGCTGGATAGCTTAGAGCAGCCTACCAGCCGAGTTTCGGACCGTCGAAACAAGGTGCAAAGAGACACAGCTGCTAATGAAAGCTTGCACATGACCCGTCAACGCACCGATAATTGCTACAGAGCTGTAGTATAACTTCGGAACAGCACATTTGCATGAGCGTGCTTGCCTTCTGAAAGTAGTGGGTTCGAGCAGCGTCAGGCTTCGTGGACAGGGCTGAGGACGTGGGCGCGATGCTAACAGGTCAAGATTCCCACGAGCTGGCAATACCCGGAAGGAGGGATCGCCATGCAACGTCCTATGCTCGGAAAGCTCGGGTTTCAAGCAGATCTCCTGCAGCCACCCAAGCTGCGCTGTAAGAGCTTCCAAACACAGCCGGCGATCCCAGTTCAAATTTCATGCATAACAGATACAAGCTTTCCTGCATCTCGTGCCTTGCATATCCGTTGCTCACCCTCTGCTAAGTAAGGAACAGGCTCATGCCGACATAATCCACCACTGGGCGAGGCTCGAGACGTAAGTCTAGAGTCTAGAGTCTAGATGTCAGCTGCTTCACACTCTCTGTATAATTTGCAAACCCTCTGTGCAAGGCTGCGTCTTCCGCCCCCGGGATCTTAAACTCAAGACGATCTTGATACGCACACCAGAAGGGTCGTCAGAATAAGTGCAATACTGATTCGCATCATCGTTTTGCGTGCGATGCTGCTTGCTTTGTTCGCACCACTGACCAATTGGCTGATGGTCGAAACATCAGACCGGTGTCAAAGGAATCGTCGTGCGGCACGAGTGAGTGACCTGGCTACCGTGCATGCCGTGCTCACATCCCAACCCCATAAGAGATAGGTAAAGGCGATGACCCAGGGATGTAATTGAGATGTCCCACCAGCTTGCGCGTACTGCGCCATCCCAACACAAATCTCGTCAGATTCCTGGACCGATGATAATAATTAAGGGCCACAGCCTCTCCAGCGCCCGAATTCTGCAGGTGAGGCCAAGCTGGGGCACCGGCTTCGGAAGGTCCTTGACATCCCCCATGATGTCACCCCTTAGCTTGCAGGACGTCAAGCTCCTGAAAGTGCCACGGCATCCAAGGTCTCCATGAATCATTGCATCACACGGACTGAGGCTTTGGCCGAGGCAAGTCCTCGATTCTCCACTTGATTCCGCTGCTGTGCAAAAAGTTCAAGTATGTCAGTCGCCTGAGATGAGGCCAGGCAGCCCCAAGTGATACAACCACAAAAAAACGAGCCTGCCTGGTTCGATTGCAAGATACGTTGAGGCACTGGCGGCGGGAGGTCCTTGAAGTCTCCAGTCCCGTGCTTTCAGTTCCAGCAAAGCAGGGTCCCTCACGAAAGCAAAAATGGCAAGAGCGCCACCAAACGGGTCTGCTGTGGAGCACCGAAGCTTCCTGTAAGGTCGTAATCCTTTCCGAGATTGAGGTGCTGCAAGGACCTGCGAAGAGGTCAGGTGGGCCGTGTTTGCCTCTAGTCTCGGATTTCCCGATGCATTCACCAGACTGGCTCAGATCCATGTACCGCAGTGGCCTCGGAAGCATCAGGGAGATGATGATGATGACCCTTGGGTCAAAGTGTTTCACAGCGCTACCGTGCCATCAAACTTTCGGCCTTGGTTGGGCAACGCAAGCCGCCAAGAAGCGCGAACAGCCTCAGAAGGGCAGCCACCTGCAGTCGCTTGGTTCAGGGCATCAGGACTTCAGGCAAAAAACAGGGCATGGGGTTTTGGGGTTCAGACTGTGAGGGCTTGGGGCCTTCGGGCTTTAGGATAGGGTTAGCCGGGCCTCTTTGGGGTGTTTCGAGTTTACAGTTTTGGGTGCTCTGAATATGGACCTTGTGGCCTGGAAGCTCGGAACTTGACCCATGAGCGCCGGTGTGTGCGCGCCGAAAGGCGGTACTTTGGCGCACATATGGTATCATATGTGGCTCAGACCTCTGCGGTGCAGCTTAGGGCTCAGCATGGCAGTGCGGGGATCTTGGAATGCGTTGTTTGCAGGGTCCATGTTTTCGAGTTTGCCTACAGGGCTGATGGTGTTTGTTTCGTGTCCGAGGCTAAATCTGAAGGCTTTGGGGGGCTCCGGGCCAGGGCTCGGGGTTTTGGGCTGTAGACTGATTCCAGACTCTGGGGTGCACAGTTGACTTTTGGTTTCAGTACAGGGAACTTAAAGTTGGGCTTTGTAGGTGTCGATTCTTGTTTTTTTGGAAAGCGGGGGGAGGGGGGGGGGCAAGACACTTCGCAAGCTGCCGAAAGCACAAACAGAAGCAATCCAGGCCTTAAGCCCCAACGCACCAGAGCTTCAGCCACACTCTGACAATGTCTCCTTGAAACGACCAGGAGGCAGCCGGCTTCCATCACAGCGGGACTGAGCACCATCTGAATGTGTCTAGGTTGTGTGCGGAAGCCCAGGAATGTATGGGCTTTTGACACCTGTGGTTGCATCGAGCTTCCTTGAGCTAGACACACTTTGTTCAAGAAGTTTCTCATGTCGCTCAGGCTGCACGTAGCTATGCTGCAGCTTAAGGTGCCGCCCGCTGCAGTAAACCAACAATGCATTCCTGCACAACCATAATTTGACTCAATAAAAAGCTGTCAACCCTTACTGGACATGGTAGGTCTCCCGTGTTGACTTATATTTATCCTGTGGCTGCTCTGCGGCGGCCTTGTGACCGTACTCCTCCCGAACGCAGGCATATGAATGATCAGAATCAAATGCGAAGGTCGCATCGTTCGATTGAAACTGCAGATCTCGACAACAACATGCGATTGTATTCCGACAATGCGTGAATGAGTACTCTAACGATGGTTGCTAGCAGAAGTAGCACTTCTTCCGTGCCTGAGCCGACACGCACGGAATGAGGTGTGACACGCGGTGACCAAATCCTTTGCGCTGGTCCAGGTTTGATTTCGTCGACCACTCTGCGAAAACTCCTACCGACAGTGACATGGTCAGTTCGGTGCAATAAGAGAGCTGTCTGCAAAAGACACTAACACGGCGGCAAACGTGAACAGAAAACCAGTTAATTCGCAACAAGCCAAACAGCAGAGTCTGGCAGCAGCCGTGCTAGCAGTGGTTTTGACACATAGCAGCGGCAGCGGAATAGCTAAGCAAT